CATCCATTTGCATCTGTCTAGTCACTTCTGGTGCGTCCCCTGTGTTCTGACTAGGCCTTCCATGCATCCTTTGAGTCCCCAAATTTAAATATGGTAACCCTTTCCCGTGCCTCTTTCTGTGATGTGTTCCATCAAGATCTTTGACTGTCATGAGTGGAGTGGTCCCTTTCTTGTTGTTCTGGACTTCATCCTATGTGCTTTGGCTTCCGGCTTGTTACTCGTCACGACAGATCTGTTGTATGTTTGGTCCAGCTCATGAAACATACAGCTATTTGAATACTTATGGACCATTATTAATCAGTGTTATGCCCTTAGGGTTTATAACACTTAAGATTTGTGTTTTCCTAAAGCCCCAGCTCCTGGAGTCAAGAGATTGCTTGAAAATCTCAGCTTTCATTAAAAAAACCACAAAAAAATTTCTAGCCATTATGGTGGTGGAGACACACTTGAGAATATGGAGTAAGTGCTCTTTATGGGCTCAGAAACCAGAAGACAAAAATAAAGAACCCAGAATGTATTAATTAAAACACAGCCCTCCATTTTTAAGCTAAGCTCGTTAATTCTTGTTGAGTCCTAACTCCCAGTTTAGAATGCTTGGGGTTGGCTGTACTCTCTTAAGTCCTAGTTACGTGACTATTAACTATGACTTGCTTGGAATGAGAATATAATAATCTCGGTTTTTAAAAATGGTAAAATGAAAAATCCTGCAGCATATCTTCAAATCAGTTTTATGTATATTCCAGCCACAATATAGGGGAGATATTTAATCTTTCATCAAGAGAACAGACTGGTTTTAGAGGTTTTTCTTGCACAGACCATTGCTTAGCATTGCATTATGTGGCATCCAAGTATGTGCAAAGACAACACCATTTATATGTAGCTTTCATAGATTTAAAGGGCGGCTTAGACCAATTAAAATTATAGGAGAAACTGGCAGTGACACCAGCGGAGTCTGGACCCAACTAGCAGCTGTGATGTGGATCAAGACAGCAGCAACTGCTTTTGGAGTCTTCCCCGCCCCTCGTTTTGGGGTCTTCCCCCGCTTTTTTGGGTGAGGCAACCTCTCCATATTATTCAACATCAAGGCATGACAGGTGAGTGAGAGCAGGTGTGGCGTGTGGACCCAGCGAGTGATGGAACCTGGGGTTACTCACCAGTGGCACCAGGTGACACTCGCTACTCAAATATGTCTAAGGTGTGTTACGGGATTGGTCATGCCCTATCCATCAGTAGGAGTCTTCTGGCTAAGACACGGGTACAACAAGGATGTCTGCTTGCTTCACCATTGTTTCATTTGTTTCTGAATGACATAAACCATTTGCTAACAGGGAATCAATTCCACATACCCATGCTATTGAATAATTTGATCCCTGCTTTGTTTTATGAAGATGATGCATTATTAATTTTACAATTTGGGTGGAGTTTTATCCTTTTACAATAAGACCAGTAGAAAGGCAATACTGACAGCATCAAAGGTCTGTAAGTCTAAAATAGAGTCTATTTAATTGTATGGAGTGGAGCTATGGGGTGCTAAGCATATGGTTCATTCAAAAATACAAAAAATTACTTTCTAAGGTGGCTTTTATCTTTACCAGTTTTTACAACAGGGGGACTTGTACAATCTCAAATGGGGCTGCTTAATGAGAGTACTTTACCTCAATTAGGAACGTTAAATATTGATTAAAAGCTAGAACATGTATCCCTGTCAGATACAATAAGAAGAGTGTTTCTCAAACCGTGGGTCACGACCCAAAAGTGGGTCGCAAGAATATATGAAAGGGTCACAAATAAACTTTAAAACTGGATTCTCCTTTAAAAGAGAAAAACATGGGAAACTGTGGGTTTTCCTTGCAGGCTGGTAGAGCTGCAGCCTGCCATGACTCACGCACACCCACTCCTTCCCCATACACCCATCCCCTACCCCACACACTGTGGGGTTGGGGTTTGGAGGTAGAGGGCACTGGGTCAGCTGTGAGGGGCAGCAGTAGGGCCAGGGGGGTTGTTTTCTACTTAAACATAGTATTTACTGATTCGGGACTGGCCATTGTTGTTTACAAATGGGTCCTGGTACAAAAAAAGGTTGAGAACCCCTGTTTTAGAAGCTACTCCTCTTCCAAGTAACCATTAGTTAGATAGTTACATAACATTCATATTCTTCTTCAGATGCATGGCCTGGGAAATGTGCTGACAGTCACAGATCCCACACCCCTCCCATATTTAAAACAAGATATAAATTTAGGAATTAGACAAACATGCAGGCAGTGAGATCTTCTCCTTTTTTAAGATTAAAAAAGCACTCTTTTTGGCTTAAATACCTATTTATCTGAAGTACAAAACCACACACAATGAGAGGCCATTACTGATTGAAATTCACTCGGATGAGATGTGCACTGTGCAGTCATTATGTACAGGTCTGACAAGTGGTGCTGGGTGGGGGAGGCCCAATTGTTGGCCAGGATGTTGTGCACTTTTCTTCCTCCTCTTCTGTTTTTTGGCTTCCTGAGCGAGATGGTTTTCTTTGAAGTGGGCTGTAGCTCGACGTGTGGCAGCACCACTGAGACCTGTTACCAGCCAGCACTTCCCAGTTTGTAGGGTTGATGCCACCCTTCTTAACGTATGTTTTCAGGGTGTCCTTGTAGTGCTTCCTCTGTCCTCCGCGGATCCTCTTACCCCGACTGAGCTGAGAGAAGAGGACGTGTTTCAGGAGACGAGTGTCAGCCATTGGCACGCAGTGGCCAGCCCGGCAGAGTTGATGTTTCATGATCTTTGCCTCAATACTGGTTATATTAGCTGCAGAAAGGAAGCTGGCATTGGGCAGCGGTCTTCCCTTCTAATACAAAGGATCTTCCTGAGGCAATGCTGATTGAGCCATTCCCGGTACTTAAGATGGCTTCGATATTTCACCCACGTCTCACACCTGTAGAGAAGCATGGGGATAACCACTGCATTGTAGAGCAGGATCAGATCTACTACTACTACTACGACGACGATGACTTGCAAGGAACCACTGTTCAGTTGTACAAAGTTAAGCTGCTGTATAAAAGATTGTGATATGAGGGCCTAAGAAATAAATTATATGAAAAATCAAATAATAGACAATACAGGAAAGGAGAAAGATGCTAAAGCCCATAATCTATAATACATCCATGGGTACACACACCATGATCCTCAACTGGGGTAGCCATGGGATGCTTTTAGGGGTGCCACGCAGTAGGGGCACAGTTAGGTGTGCAGAAACCTACACACAATTCACAAGGTAAACCCAGAGCTGTCACACATGTAAGTATATGGCAATTGGCAGGGGCGGATCCAGGGGGTGCACTGGGGTGAATCCAGTGGGATGCACTGGGGTGAATCCAGGGGGTGCATTAGTGCACTGGGATGAATCCAAGGGGAGTGCACTTGTGCACTGGGATGAATCCAGGGGGTGCACTGGTGCACTGGGGTGAATCCAGGGGGATTCACTGGTGCACTGGGGTGAATTCAGGGGATGCACTGGTGCACTGGGGCAAATCCAGGGGGATGCACTGGGGTGAATCCAGGGGGTGCATTAGTGTGCTGGGGTGAATCCAGGGGGGGTGCACTTGTGCACTGGGATGAATCCAGGGGGTGCACTGGTGCACTGGCACCCCCTCTTTGATTCCTGTTCCACTCAAAGTTTAAAACCCAGGGGCAGCAGCATTTCTAGTCCAGCAGTGCTGAGGGAGTCACTTAATTTCACAGCTCGTTATAATCTACCCCGTCCTTTTTAAAGACTCCATTGCACAGGTGTTAATGCCCCTCTCTTCTTCCCCCCATGCCATGCACCCGCTGGCTCTGTCCTGCTCCAGGCACGCCCCGGCTGGGCAGCGTCCCAGCCCCTGCCCCACTCCCTCCCTCATCATGGGGAGCCTTGGTCTGCCCCCCTTTCCCCACTTCCACCTCCCCCCATAGACTTCCCTGCAGGGAGCTGCTCCCCACGCTGCCCAGCTGCATTCCCAGCCACGTGCACGTGTCGGGTGCGCACATGCCCATGGCACCCCCGCGTCCCGCTCCCGGCAGCCCCTTGCAAGCTGGAACACGGCCTGCCTGCAAGGGGACCCCGCCGGTCCCCCGTCCTGTCCCCGCACAAATGCTGCCCCGTGGGCCTGCAGCGCGGGACCGGGGCTTGAGGGACTGTCCCGCTCCATTAGGGTTGCCCTAAACGAAGCCAGCGTTCATCGTGCAGCCCTGCGGGCTGTTTGCCGCTCCTGTTTCACGCGCGGCAGGCTGCTTTAAATATTTTTAAACTCATCCCAATGACGTTATCCTGGTTTCGGCTTCACGTGAACCCAAATCCCACGGCCCCAGGCCCCGCGAGGTGCGGTTTCACCTTGTGCACCCCCCTTTTGAAAAAAATTCATACTATTTTATTTTTATGTATTTATGTATGTCTTTATTTTTATACTTTATATATGTATATATATTATATATATATTATATTTAAGGAAGGATCTGCCTCAGCAGGGCGCTGAATACAGCCCCTCTCTGAGGGGAATTTTTCTAAAATTTATTTTATTTTTATGTATTTATGTATTTTTATACTTAGTGTGTGTATATCTATCTATCTATCTATCTATATAGATATATGTCTATTATATTTAAGGCAGGATCTGCCTCAGCAGGGCGCTGAGGGACGTGCACCCCTCTCTGAGGGGAATTTTTAAATGTATTTTATTTTAATGTATTTGTTTATTTTTCACATGTTGTGGTGTGTATTTACATTGTTATCATTCCCGGAGGGAGAGGCCGTTAGGTGCCTCACCGCCCGGCCCAGCCTGCACCGCGCGCCCCGCCTGCCCCGCGCCTCGGCCGTGTTGATGCCGAAGCTGCCCGTCTCCCTCTCGATTTGCATAACCACGCCTCTCCCGCCGCGCCATTGGCCGGCCGCCTCACCCTCAGGGGCCCCGGGCTCCCGGCCTAGC